GACATATGCCCCATGGCAGCTTTTTGGCACCTTGAAAGTGTAGAAGTTTGGGGAGGCACTGGATGTCCAGGAACGTGGCAGAGACATCTGGGGGCTGGCACCAGGAATGTCCTGGAGGCCCAAGGTCACCATCAAGGGTCTGAGTTGTCAGCGGGGCCGATTCCTGCCGCCCACTTGGAACCCAAGTCGTGGGACCCCCTGCTAGGCCTCAGCTTCCTCACCTACACGCAGCGGTCACCCGGGTGCTCAAGGACATGAGGTCATGGCACCAAGGGCACAGAGCCCTCCCTGACCGCATCAGAGTTCACCTAAAAGAGAGCCAGCTCTGGCCGAAATGATCCCCAGCACCCTCAGGCCTCGGGAGGGCTCGGCTGGGCTCATACAGGCGATCAAGGCGCACAGCTTCAGACTAGCAGAGCTCAAACAGCCACGCGTCCCCAAAGCCAGCCCCAAAGCATTCTGGCTATCCTTGTACCTAACCACACTGCTACCTGGTGGCTTAAAACAACAGTCTTTCCTCCTTTCTCATGGCTTCTGTGGTCAGGGATCTGGGGACACTGGGGGGCAGCTGGGATGTACCGGAACACCTGTCTGTATTCACATGGCCTCCCCGTGTGGCCAGCGGGGGTGTCCTCACAGCCTGGGGGCTTGGCGCCATGGGAAGAGGCTCCGGGAACCAGCAGGGGCTGCGGCAGAGTTGTACCGTCCCTTCTGAGGGTCCGAGAAGACACCCGACAACACTTCCAGCACATTGTGTCTGTTACAGGGGGTCCCAAGTCCACCTCCTTCCAAGGGGAAGGGAATCAGGCTCCAGACCTTGATGTGGGGATTGCAAGATATTAGAAGAACACAAGGGACTGTTGGGGCCATCCCTGGACAATTCAGCCTTTACAGACACTGGCTATTCACTGAGCATCTCCATAGTTCCAAGCGTCCAATATCCTACTGGGTTCTCGCACCAACCCCAGAGGGCTGGCATCACGACGTCCATCTTACAGACGAGGAGGTGGCGTTCTCTGCTCACTCGGGCCTGTGCGGATGGAGGGTAACGTCTCCTGGGCGTGGACTGGAGGAACAAGAAAGGAAAGGACCTCTACCTTTGACTTCTAAACTTGCATTACAGCGAGCATATATTTGTGGCTTTTGGAGAGCGGAAGCCTGGAGCCATGGTCAAAGCCGCGGCTTACCCTTAGAATCAGGGCTCAGCGTCTCTGAGCATTTCTTTCCACCCAGGGCACATGCCTATTTCGGAAGCCCTCGGAAACCGCCCCAGGAGCAGCTCTCCTGGGCCCCTGCTGGGCCCTCAGTCCTCTCAAGGCAAGCCAGGCTGGAGCTTCCTAGCGCCAAGACCTCGGAGGGGCCACACATCTCCAAAGGAGCCCCTGCATTTGGAAATGAGGCTTGTGAACTGTACCTGTGAATTGAGGGAGTGGCCACTGCAGAAGGCCCAGGGTCAGCGGGCGGGGCTGGGTTGTAGAGAAGCTGCAGGTAAACCAAGAATCACCCTAAAGATCAGTCCCACCGCGCCTTGGGAATGGTGGGGGCATGCACAGGTGACCTCCCAGACCCCCATTACAGCCACAAACATTCCCAGAATTGTGTCTCTTAGGACTCCAAGAGCTGCTTAAACACGCTTTTCGTTGTTGCTCAATTATTTTATTACATAAGTCCGTTTCCTGGAAAATAGGGAAAGAGCACCTGTATTCGCATCCCTGTCTAAGGTTGGGGTGGATGGCTTTTCAAGCCGTCTTTTTAACGACGGACTATCTCCCTCCTGCCCCTTGGGCTGTGACACGCCAGGGACCCCTTTTCCACGCCGAGCTCATTGGTTTTACCAGTTGCCGTAAACTGTGTGTCATGATTTATCCGATCTTCTCACTGACAGTCACTGGTTGTTTCTGGGTTTTGCAAGTATAAACAGCGAGTCCTAATGGCGTTCTTGCACCTGCCTATGTCCCGGGATAAACTCCTACAGGAGGTCTTCTCCGACGTCTTCACAGCCAGGAGAGAGGCTGCCCACCCCCACCGGGATTCTGATGTTCAGGTCCGTCTTCCTCGTCTGGGGTGCGATTCGGCTCGTCTGTGTTCTTCCGTCCCGGTGACTCTTGGATTCCCGGAGTCCCAAGCCAGGCCCCCGGCAGATCAGGTAAGGTTCCGAGAGATGCTTCCCGGCCGACCGGAACTTGGCGCAGCCCCCAGAGGGACCAGCTGTCACCATCACAACCAGGACGGGAGCGGTCGGCTGCAGGAACGATGACAAGAACTGCGTTCTTCTCCCTCTTCCTTCCTTCTTTCCGAACCTCGTGCCCGGCTCCCCTCCCCAGCTATCCACACATGCATTTGGAGAAAATACACAAGATTCTCAACATTTTGCTCAAAAGGAACGAGCCAAACCGCGCTCCGAAAGAAGGGGCGTCGTCTGCTCCTCCTGAGGACACGAAAGGTCTTTTCCGTGGCGCCGAGCAGCCCGGCTCCTCGCAGCCCGGTCTCAAGTCCGGGCACCGGGCGTGGCGCCCCGCGGGGCCCGGCTCCTTTCCCTCCCCGGGGCTGCAGGAAGGGCTCAGGTGGGCCCAGGAGGGCACGCGGGCCTCAGACCCGGGCGCCAGGCTTCTGGGAGGAGACCACCCCCGCCCCCCGCGCGCATCGTGCCCGCTCACCTGCGCGTGCGAGGCCGCCGCCAACGCGTCTCCGACTCCAGGCCCGCGGCCAACACCGCCGCCTAAAGGAGCCGCCCCGAGGCCCCCCGCCCCCAGAATGACGTGAGGCTACAGACGACCAATCGGCGGCGGGCCCTGCGCGGCTGGCATCCCTGCGCCCCGCGATTGGCCGCGCGCCTCGCCCCACCCCCTGAGCTGACTCCGGGCCACCAACCCAGCCACTGCGCGGGGCTGGGGCGCGATACCAACCGCGAGGGCCCGCCCCGCGGATGGGGGAGGCGGGAGCGCGACCCCGCGCCCCTGTTGCCCCCGCCCGGTGGCCGCCGGCGAGCTGCACCCCCTGCGCCCCTTCCCTCGTTCCGCTGGTGCGGCTTCCGAGGCGCGCAGCATCCCCTTGCTGAGCGTCTGATGTGTCTGGCGCCGGGTGCACAGCAACCCCCAGAACGGACAACGTCCCTGCTCCCAGGGGTCGGGTCTGTTAGGGGCGGGGGAGGGGAGCAGTAATCAATATGCAATAATCAAACAGGCTCAGATGGTGAAGGTGCTGCGCAGAAGACTGAAGCGGGCAGGGTGGGAGAGGGTGAGCGCGTGAATAGCGGTTTGACCTGGGGGTGTCAGGGAGGGCTCTGCTGGGAGGCCCGGGAGGCCTGCTTCCCCCAGAAGTGAGGGAGATGGAGTTTCGGTGAGGGTCCCGCCGTGCAGACAGACATGAGAGGGAAAGGAGCAGCGGCGCTGGAAAGAGGAGAGGTTGAACTGCCAGGCAAGCGTGGGCCAGATCCGGTGATAACAACCCACGACCGTCGTCCCGCTCGCCAGGGATGCCCAAGGAGCATACATACTCCTACCTCCGGAGATCAGCCACTAGACAGCGCCACCCGGGCAGAGGCCTGACCTTGGGCAGCTCTGCCAACCGAGCAGGCCCTGGAGGGGAGGGCAATTGGAGGTGTCTGCTGGCCCCACTCCCCGCGTTCGGACAAAGTTCTTGTTTGCATTGGGATCTGGCTGGCACAGCTCTGTGTCCCTCACAGACATTTTTTCCCCTGCAGTTTTCTATTTTTAAAAATGTCAAACATACAAGCCAGTTGAATCCTTACTAAGCGAGCACCCACATACCTAGATTCAGCAGCTTCCAACAGTTTGCCACCTTTCATTTCTTTCTCCCCCACTCAGTCTGTGTCCATCCCCCCCCCTCCCCTGCCGCTTCTGTTCCCTGCGGGTGATGTCTTCTTCCTAAATACTTCAGCAGCCACTTCTTACGTTACCAAAACAAGACACATTAGGCTTTGGACATTCTGCGTCAACGCAATGCCATCATCTAACCTATCGTCCGCATTCAGTTTCCCCCATCACCCCACTCATGTCTTTTACAGCCGTTCATTACAAGTCCGGACCCAGTCAGGAAGCCGCGCTGCACCAGGGGTCAGGGCTCTGTAGCCTTAATCTAGAGCAAGGCCCGGGCCTGCCTGCCTCCTTTCCTTTCCCCTTCCTTCCTTTCTTCCTTCCTTCCCTCCCTCCCTTCCTTCCTTCCTCCTCTTCTTTCCTGCCCTTTCTCCTTCCTTCTTTCCTTCCTTCCTCCTTTTCTTTCCTGCCCTTTCTCCTTCCTTCTTTCCTTCCTTCCTCCTTTTCTTTCCTGCCCTTTCTCCTTCCTTCTTTCCTTCCTT